ACTCGGTGCGTTCTACATAGTCTCCCTGAACACAAGACCAAGTTGCGACGACGAGGTCAACCCACTTCTTTAGAGGTAAGATTACAAGTTAAAATTTTATCCTAAAGAATTAAGACGTGCAACTTTTTTAGCAATATTCGGGATGGTCATTGTATGATTATATTGCATCATGTTTGTTTTTAGACGGCAAAAAAGCCTCTGTTTCTTATTCAAAGGGTACTTTGACTTGAAAGAAATAGCAGATAAGGCATATGTTAGCTAAATACCGGTTTTGCAGAGACGAAAATTGCAATCAGGCTAGTTAGCAACAAAAAGCTAATAAATACAAAATCCTCAATCTGCCACTAAACTACACATAAAACATAAAACGGAGGAATATTGAAAGAGGATTGATTGAAAGATGAGCATTAGCCTCTGTTCAATATCAAATGCCACTAAAAAACAATTGTCTAATATAAAATTTACAATATATTCGTAGTGACCTGATAGATTGCAGCCTCGTAATGCGGATTCCGATGAGTTACATGTCGTAGAGCAGAACACACTGGCTCAGTAACCTCTTCATGATCAGCGTTCTCGATCAACGTCTGACAGAGTACAGGAACCCCTCCTGAAGAAGAAAAAAGTAAGACAAGTTGTGAAAGAAAAGAAACATAAAAACAAGGTGAAATGGTCGGATGGCACAGAATAAGTAGGAAAACAAGTTCTGTATTTAATTTGTTCCAACATGGCATTTGGGTAATATATTCTACGATCGTCGCATTTTTCTCGAAACTCTACTGAAATACGAAGACAATATTCAGCATGAGCGGATCCCAGTTACAAAAGGTTTCTTAAGAGCTTATGAGTTTTCACTTTCAAGGAATACTTACAACAGTTCCCTTCAGGTCTTTCAACTCTCTCCCAGATAAGAGTACAACGAAAAACCGAACTTGACTCCTGGAAATTTTCTTCGGGCAGTAGTATTTGAGCCACACCGTTCGACATAGACAAACAAGATTGGCCAAATGGTGGTATGGATGTTGGTGAGATCAGTAGGATTGAACGGAGATACATACCGAGAACAGTAAAAATTCGTATATACGAATAAAAGTTGTTATTTTTAAATGGATCACTTGATCCTTTGTGATCGTGTGCGACAAAGAGGTTCAGTAGACGACGACAGATTCCGTCCAGCCAACTGTATTTTCAGTTTGCCTTGAACGCGCCGAAGGCAAGCTTCGTCGAGTCCGGTAAAACTGTTCCGGCGAAGTTGTACCAGATACGACAGATTGTCAGGAGATTACTTCCATGCATTAGAAGGTTCGAGCAAAGCTAAAGACAATAGGCCGTCGGCTTAAAGTGAAGCAAACCCGAGACAAACTTAATCGCACACTTTGATTGGAAACGGAGAGAAAAGTGAACAAATGAAACTGACCCAATTCAATCAGACTACTCTTGTTATCGGCATTCTGGCATGTCAAGTTACAGATACACCCAGCTGCGCAAGTAGCCACATGCTCCTCGCTGCTTTGCAACAGCAGTACCAAGCGCAAAAGTAGATCATGCATATCCGGTTGTTGGAAGGCCTGATCGCTGAGGTTACGCAATCCCCAGAGAGCTTCTAGCACGAGAGATGAATTGCCAGATGAGAGGAGATGTGAAAGCGCCTGAAAGAGAAAATGAGGAAAAATATTTTAGTCATCACTTTAGGATGACCAAGTGATTCAAATAGGCCAAGCGGAACTGGTCAAGGCGACTGGGCATCTATTTGGGTCGCAGTCTCTTTTCCGTGTATACAAGTTGTTTGACTTTGTTTTCACAACTTGGTCATAGTAACAGGAAGACCGAGAGGAACGCACCGAGTCTGGAGTTTGACTTTACTGTAAACCACATTTAGCATACTTATTCACATGTTATTAATCTAAGATAGGCTTTATGTTCCACCTCTATTTGACCATAAATGTCACCACACAGGAACAGGAACCAAAAGCCCAATTGATATGAGATCTACTTGTGCTGCTACATTGAGAGTGTATGACAATGCAGGATCGTATAGCATAACAGGTTGCTATGACCTAGATGTTGCAAAAGAAGTTTTTTGACCTTGTTTTCGCAACTTGGTCATATTGGCAGGAAGACCGAGAGAAACGCAATGAGTTCGGAGTCCATTGTATGCATCATCGTTTCCAGACTAGGACCGTGGACGTGGTACATTCACAGACTCCCAGAAGGGGAGATACCACAACTGTTTAGCACACGTTTGGGTTTCACTTGTTGCTCTGACGAGGTGTAATATGGCGAGACTCACTGAAGATATCGGCGAAACGTCTGGGAATGTACCACATCCTCGGTTCTACTCTGGAAATGATGATGCATACAATGGACTCCGGACTAGGTGTGTTCCTCTAAGTCTTCCTACCAATTTGCAAAAACAAGGTCAAACAACTTCCTCATTACGAAAGAAGACTGCGACCACACAATAGGCCACGTCATCTTGATCTTCATATCTTCGACTTAACATGCTTATAGTTGCTAAGTGACGGATGTGTTGCGCATGTCTAATTGAAGCAAAGTTTGACTTTACCGTGAACCCCATTTAACATAATTATCCACATGTCATTAATCTAAAATGGGCTTTATGATCCACCTCTATTTGACCATAAATGCAACCAAACAGGAACAGAAACCGAAAGCCCAATTGATATGACATCTACTTATGCTGTTACATTGACAGTGTATGACAATGCAGGATTATATAGCATAACAGGTTGCTATGAACTAGATATT